GTGTAACATTTTTTTAAATGTTACTGCTTGTTTCAGAATGATTAGAGAGAACATTCGAATCACAAAACTTACGGTTCGGATCATATTATGGTTTTTTAGTCACGGATCGGATCATTTTACAAATGGAGGGTAACTTTGCTTTCCATTTGTTACATAAAGCTCACTTTAAGTACTCTGATACCACAGCATAAACTACTTGCCTGACTTATAAAGTTAAAACATTATTAAAGGCAAGTGAACAGACAGTAAAAAGAACAAGTACACCAATTACAAGCATAGATAAATACAACAAAACAAAGTTACAAAAATAGTAAGGTCTAACTGTAGTATTAATTTCGGGTACAGAAATGTAATAATTAAATTAAATTAAAAAATACTGTTCACTGTATAAATTTGATATTGATTCATCTTTGTTAAAGCTGTGTTTGTGTTTGATTAACATGACAGACAACATCATGTATTGTATTTATAGGTTGCTGTCACTTTAAGACCCCATGCACGCACAGATCCAATAATGATACACATCCGATGACCGAATGTGCTTACGTGAATACTTGCCGATTTTCACTACATAATTTGTGTGTATGTGTCCATCCAAGTGCACATGGACTCGTCTCTCTCTGTGTGTGCAAGATAACAGCGGGCGAGAATCGAATTAAATTCTCTTTTGCCTCTTCTAGCGCTGGAATGCTTTTAAAATCTATTGAATGTGTAAACTAGCAAGACAAAACACGTGCAAATGATGACCTTTCACTCAATTGTGGTTAAACTTGCAATTGATCCACGAATCACATGCATGCCGAACCGTACGGATCACGGATCAACAACGATTCGTTTAAAGGGGACGTAACACACGCAGTTTCTGCCAATCTCCTGTTAATCTTGAGTACCTATAGAGTAGTATTGCATCCCTCATATATCTCCAAAGAGTCTTTAGTTTTATCAGATTTATAAAAGATAGATATGCTGCTCCTGGAGGCGTGCCGTGCAGCGCTGCCGATGGCTTCCGTAACCCGAATGAAGCACGCTGATGGGCACGCTCTTGCTCTTGCTCTCGCTCTGGTTGGCGTGATTTTTCCCCAAAACCAGTTCAGCGGCCTGTCATTGTTGGCATGTCAATCTCTGTACTGATTGATTGAACCAAACGGTGATCCCTAAACCTACCCATCACTGTAACCTTAAAGGGTTAGTTCACCCAAAAATGAATATTCTGTCAGTAGCCTAATTACTCTCCCTCATGTTGTTCCAACCCCGTAAGACTTTCGTTCATCTTCGGAACACAAATTAAGATATTTTTGATTAAATCTGAGAGCTGGATCACCAGACTGATCTCATGAAACGGCGTATGTATGACACGCCAATTCGTATTTCCATTTTTGGCGTGCTATCAACACGCATAATCGCTTTTCAGCGTGTTTATCAACGCCGTTGACTTAACGTACATTACTGTATATATAAATATATGACCTACCCCAACCCCGTCCCTAAACCTACCCGTCACTGGGGTTAATACCATTTATGAGTCTTCCCCTACCATCCTAGGAAAGAAAATATCGCTCCCCAGATGTAGATCTACATTTTGCTTCGTTTCGCTCGGACATTTAACGGCGTAGACATACACGCGGAATCACTCGGACATTTAACGGCGTAGACATACACGCAAAAGATGACGGTTCGTTTCGGCGTGGACATACACGCGGATAGCTCAAAATGCGTATAGATAACACGTAGGGGTGTAACGGTACATGTATTCGTATTGAACCGTTTCGGTTCGAGGCTTCCGGTTCGGTACGCATACAAACCGAACGATTCCTTGGACCATTTTTCCTGCCGACAAAATTCGCGCTGGCGCGAACACCACAACGTTGCGCAACATCAAATGGCAAACGTAATGAAAGCGGAACGAAACTGCGCTTCTCATTATATTGTGCTTCACGGATCGCAGTTCGGACCAGCAACATCAGTGCAGCACGAGCCGATCTCGATCAAGCGACACTGTTACAACACAGCGCTAAGATCAAGTAAAGAAAACATTTGAATTCGCCACTGAAGTAATAACATCGCTGCGAGATCTAGTGAGAAGCATTCACATTTCTCCGTTATTAACCGCAGATCTCTATTAGATCAAACAGCGCTGACGTGGAGACCAGGAGAAATATTGTGCCGTGATGAACTAGTAATAGCTACTTTACGTCCACAGACCAGCAACATTCACCATGGATTTAATATAGTAACACTAAATGTAACCAGTTTGGCTGGAATAGTGAAATGCTTTCAAGTACTTCACAAATCTTTTTCCAGCACTTCAAAACTCAAATATTATATAAATAAATATACAAAGAGTTCAGATGCAAAAGCCTCTAAGTGCCATTTGAAATTTTCTTCTAGTATGATAATTTTTATGAAGCTTGTATATTTAAGTTCAGTAATTTCACTCAAATGACAATTAATAGGTAATCTTCATTGCCATTTAAGTGAAATTACTGAACTTAAATATACAAGCTTGATAAAAATGATCATTCTAGAAGAAAATTTCAAATGGCTTTTGCATCTGAACTCTTCATATATTTAAATGTTATTTTTAATGTGATGACCAAAACTGTCATGATTCTGCCCTCGTGTCCTTGATTTTCTCTTGTCTTGAGGCAGGATCATGACAGAATCATGTTTTGTGTGCAAGCACATGGTCTTGTGTTTTGAGCCATGTGCTTGTGTTGTCTCGTTACGTTACCCCGCCCCCTTGTTATCCTCGTCTGGTCATTATTGTCTAGTCAGCTTCACCTGTCTTTGTCCATTAGTGTCTCCCTATTTTATCCCCTTGTGTTTGCTGTCCTGTGTCGGTACATTGTCAACCTGTGCGTGTTACTCTTTGTGAGAGTCCTGTGAGTACTTCGTCTGAATATTGTATTAAGAATTGTGAGTTTATGTAGCTGTTTGTTTTCTTCATCTTGTCTTTGTCAGTATCTAGTCCTAGTTTATTTCCTGTCTTAGTCTAGTTGTACTGCCCCATCTGTCCTGTTTTGCCCCCTCGTGGGTTTTTGTTTTCTGTTTTGTGCCTCAATAAATCCCTGTTAGTCTGCATATCGTCTGCGTTTGGGTTCACTCTTCAACCTTATGACAAAAACATTATTCGTTCATCCTTCAAAGATGACACCCATTTATAAACCAGAAAGTTTCAAGATTTAGGAAAACTCACACTTATTTAAAAAATATTTTTTCTTTTAACAAATAGGAAATTTCTCTGGCATTTCTTACTTTTTGCTGTATCGAAAACGTACCGAACCTTGACTTTAAAACCGAGGTACCGAACCGTGATTTTTGTGTACCGTTACACCCCTAATAACACGCCACTTGACTTGAAAGTGGCGTGTATGTTTACGCAAAAGTCATGATGTCATGTTGGGATCATAGTCTTCTTAAGGGATCGAATCTGGCCGGCCCAAAAGTTGTGAAAGACATCGTTAAAATAGTCCGAGTGACTACAGTGGCTCAATCTTAAGTTTATCAAGTGACGAGAATACTTTTTGTACGCAAAAAAACAAACACAAATAACGACTTTATTCAACTAATCATTTCCTTCTCTGTATGGCCGTGATATTTCACGTATAGTGAAACTACGCAAAGCTTCTAGGTTGTACGTCACGCATCACACACATGACCAGCGTCGGCCAATAGTGAGCCTGCGTGTGACGTGCAACCTAGAAGCTTTGCGCAATATCACTTCGTGAACTCACTCGAGGCCAACAGAGAAGGAAATGAATAGTTGAATAAAGTCATTATTTTTGTTTGTTTTTTGCGCACAAAAAGTATTCTCGTCGCTTGATAAACTTAAGGTTGAGCCACTGTAGTCACTCGGACTATTTTAACGATGTCTTTCATAACTTTTGGGCCGGCAAGTTTCAATCCCTTTAGAAGCCTATGGAGGAGTAATCCAGCTCTCAGATTTAATAAAAAATATCTTAATTTGTGTTCTGAAGATGAACGAAAGTCTTACGGGGTTGGAACAACATGAGGGAGAGTAAATACTGACAGAATTATCATTTTTGGGTGAACTAACCCTTTAAACCAATGAAATTAGCTGCACAGCGGGATTTCTGCTGAACTGGTTTCGGGGGGAAAAATCACGCCTCTGGTTGATGTGTGCGCACGCTCTTCCGGGAGAAGTGCCCATACAAGGAACTCCGCCCTTTATGACGGCATACAGGGCCATACTCGGAAAAAAACTCTCTGAAACTTATACAAATCCTGAAGGAGTGTATTTGGCACAGAAATGGTCATACAGACTAGTTTTTTAAAACTTTGCCAATGTTAAGCATGAGAATCCAACTCTTTAACAGTGTAAATAAGTCAGAATGCATAAAATATCATTACACATCCCTTTTATCCACTATTCAAAAGTAACAATCCCATGTTTGCAAAATCATGAAATGGAATGTTCCCTTAATGTTTAGAATCTAAACGACCATGTCTCTGAACGTTCTAAACTTTAGAACGTTCAGAGAACATTCAGAAATAACGTTTTCTAAACTTAATAAAAATCTTAGCGAATTGTACTTAGAACACGTTTACGTTGGGTTAAAATCACCTCGTCAAACTGGCACAGGCACTGGTTTCATAAGTGACCCAGTTACTGTTATGTCTGGCTCTCAGACTAAACGTGTTACACAGGCCAGACACGGAGCCAATTTCTGCTGTGTGTTTCATTAAGTCAAACTGACTCAAGCTCAGATCAGTAGACTCAATTAGTTCATTTCCCATGTGTCATCCAGCACTAATGAATTAGCACTGGTTGGGACTGAGACTGAGAGCGTTTACAGCTGCGCCTCGAGGGTCAACGTTTGATGGCTCTGCTAAAAAACTGCTTCATCCTTTCCGGAATAAGTTAAAAGCATTGATAATTAATTTGAAGGATTCTCAGTTGTATTGATCTAATGCATTTAAAGGGTAAAAGCAGGAGCATCCCATTTATTGATTTTTTCCCCCCGCCTCTTTGTCCTCAGGTCAGGAAGTGTCAAACACCACTGGGATGAAATCTACACTTTTGTTGAACATTTGGCTGAGAAATTCACCAGGTACTAAACAAACATGAATCAAACTATAGGACCCAACTGAATGAATGGCGTGTTCCAGTTGCATAAGGTTTCAAATGTGTGTTATAGATGATTTCACAAATTTGTAACCATTTCTGGTCTGTTTTTCTTCGTCTTACAGTCCTATGCTGCGAATGTCCTTCATCGTCTTCTCAACCAGAGGGACCACAATCATGAGACTCACCGAAAACAGGTGCTGAAAGACACGTTCTCTAGTGCTTCACACTTTTAGAATTTAAATTCTCATTTTTATTTTCATTTTTCAAAGGGAGACCATAAGAAAAGGCCTAAATGTTCTAAGACGAGAGATCCCAGGTGGAGATACTTTTATGCATCTTGGTCTAGAAAAGGTAAAATGTTCAAATTAAAGCTGTTTTTCATTCAAATTAGCTATTTAAATGTGCTTCGCTTCTTTTTAACAATATTATCGAATCTTCATTCACAGGCAAACGAGCAAATACACCAGGAAAACTTTGGTAGGCTTCCATTCAAGACCACTGAATAGAGTATTGCTGTTATTAAAGTTTGATCGTACCAACAATGATGATCTTCACTCCACTTTGTAGGAACTGCGAGTGTCATAATTGCATTGACGGACGGTGAGCTTCAAGAACATCAGCTGATAGCAGCTCAACAGGAGGTAACAAGCCTTCAGTCTGCAGACATTTATAAATCTAAAGGCTCATGGTTTCTAATTGAGAATGCTTGATGTTTAACCAGGCAGCACGAGCTCGGGGATTGGGTGCAATCGTGTATTGCGTTGGAGTTAAGGACTTCAATGAAACACAGGTGATGATGACAGCGATGATCTTTTGTTGACGGTTTCCTAAACTTGTACACATGGGGCCGGATTTACCAAACATAAACGTACAAACGTAATAGCGGCGATGGAAGTGGAAAGTTCTGCGCGTGATCTACTGCGAACGTGCAAATTAAAGAACACAGACTCAGCCGGATCATTTCCATAATGACCAACACAATCTACCAGTTAGCGTCTGGTTTAAAGGAGAACTCCGGCGCAAAATGAACCTTTGGTCTAATTACACATTGTTACCTAGTCAACCGTTATCTGAGATTTGTTTTCATGATTATCGAATGTAAATAGTTTTAAAGTAGAGTTTAAAGGCTAAACTCTACAAACAGTTTAGCCTATAAAGCTAGTATAACGCTAATATATTGGGCATAGTGTAATGACAAATAAAAATCGCTTGTTAATACCACTAACAAGGCTCAAAATAGCCCCACACCAACACGGTAGCATAATGAGGGTCCCTACCTTCAAACCGAAGCATTGAGAACTTTGTCAGTGTACAGACAGTTTAATAAGAAGATATTTTAAACACACAGTCAACTTCGCGTATACAGGCAGAAGTCATCTTTGAAATACAGTCTCTACCAGTCGATCTACGAACGCCGATCCAAGTGCGCTGGTGAGAATGTGAACGAGCTATAAGTTGTGATAAGGTGAGCGCGAACAGCAGGCTTGGATCGGCGTTCGTAGATCGACTGGTAAAGGCTGTATTTCAAAGATGGCTTCTGCCTGTATACGCGAAGTTGACTGTATGTTTAAAATATCTTCTTATTAAACTGTCTGTACACTTACAAAGTTCTCAATGCTTCGGTTTGAAGGTAGGGACCCTCATTATGCTACCGTGTTAGTGTGGGGCTATTTTGAGCCTTGTTAGTGGTATTAACAAGCGATTTTTATTTGTCATTACACTATGCCCAATATACTAGCGTTATACTAGCTTTATAGGCTAAACTGTTTTTAGAGATAAAACTATTTACATTCGATAATCATGAAAACAAATCTCAGATAACGGTTGACTAGGTAACAATGTGTAATTAGACCAAAGGTTCATTTTGTGCCGGAGTTCTCCTTTAAGACGTGCTTTTTTTGGGGCGGTATATAATGGCGCAAATAGTAAATAGCAGTAAATTGACGAGCACAAACTATAAAAAATAACCTTGCATGATTCATTTCTTACTCTCCTACCATAAATTTTGCGTCTGAAAGTGAAACTCCTACATATGCATATGCAAAAAGGTCAGCCGCAAACATAACCCTGTCCACGCCTTTTCAGCGCTAATTTATCACTGCGTGTCTTTACTAAATCCTGACAGTAGTTTTTTTTAACGCTGGTGCAAGTTGCAAGTGAATCTGGACTTAACAGTCAGTTATTGGATTGCTTTTTTATTGCCTTTTTTTCCCTATCTCATATTTTAGAAATCATCATAAATTACTAAATCATTCGAAAGTTTACAATTTCGAAAGTATCATTCAAAAGCTTAAACACCTTCCTGTGAAAACTATTTTGAAATTTAACTTTTAATTGAACGTTTTTTAACTTTAAAATAGGGCTGTCAAATGATTAATCACGATTAATCACATCCAAAATAAAAGTTTGTGTTTACATAATATATGTGGGTGCACTGTGTATAATTATTTTGTATATATATAAATACACACACATGCATGTATATTTAAGAAAAAAATATTATTTATATATAAAATATTTATATTTATATATAATATAAATTATATATAAATCTATATACAGTATATACATGAAAATACTTCTTAAATATATACAAGCATGTGTGTGTATTTATATATATAAAATAATTATACACAGTGCACCCACATATATTATGTAAACAAAAACTTTTATTTTGGATGTGATTAATCACGATTAATCATTTGACAGCCCTACTTTAAAACCTTTTAGCGGCTCAATTTTTGTGATATTAACTTCTAATTTTGAACACAACTTGGTTAGACATATATTTTAGAGTTCAAATTATTTGGATAATTGGATAAAATAAAAATGTTTGCTTTACAGTAAACTTAAACTTCTATAACTTTTTTTACACTTTCATTATTTGAAGCTGCTGCAATAATCTGAGTGTCTTCTTTAAATAGAGATCAATCTTACCAAAACTTTCATGAATTACAACTATTAAAGTCAAAAAGGAGGGAGACAGTTAACAGATTAAACTAGTTTTAAAGCATCAACAAGTTCTTTCATCTAACAAACAATGTTGGAGATTCTTCCTAAACCGTCAAGTATGTACTTACCAGAGAATGTAATTCAATATAAACCATGCACTTTATATGGTGGAAACCAGTTAAAATCAACCAATCGCAACTAAATAAACATCTGTTTTTCCCGTTCTAGCTGGCTACCATAGCGGACACCAGTAAGCATGTGTTTCCGGTCTTGGGAGGATTCCAGGCACTGCGAGGAATGATTGACTCGGTAAACTGAAACTTGTGGAAGATTCATTAAGAATGCATTTTGTGAATTTTCTAAGATGCATTTTCCTTACTCAAAGTGTTAGTTCATCCAAAAATAAAAATTCTGCATTTAATTTTTCATGTCGTTCCAAACAGATAAGACTTTTGAAACACCAATTATTTCTGTCCCTCCATTGCTTTTGTTTATGTTTGCTGATCAATGTGTCTATGTGAATAAAAGCATAAATTAAATATGTTAATCATATAAAGCCATCGTGCCTCTTCAGAAGAGTTGGATTAAACGGCGTGATTCATACGGATTAGTTTTATGAACTCTACTGTATATGAACATTTTGAGTTTTTGGTGAGAATGGAGGGACAGAAATCTTAATTTGTGTTCTGAAGATGAATGAAAGTCTTATGGATTTGGAAAGAAATGAGGGTGAATAAATGATGATGATATTTTCATTTTTTGGGTGAACTTTCCCTTTAATGCTGAAGTGTGGAATTTGATAGATAGATAGATAGATAGATAGATAGATAGATAGATAGATAGATAGATAGATAGTCTTTATTGTCCCATAGGGATAATCATTTTCACACATCCTTTTTTCCTTCTTCCATAGCACAGAAATATCACATATGAGGAAACACATAGAACATGTAACACATATCCAAATACATATACAAACACACAGCTCATAAAGAGACCACAAGACATTAAAATACGTTATATAACCGTATAGCGTTATACGTTAACGTTATAATTACAACAAGACATTTAAATAATATGGTAAGAATTCATTTGTTTGCAACATAACAAGCTGTTTTGTACAGCTAAAAATAACCGTAAGCGAATGAAACCGGAAGCCTTGCACATTTGTAGCCATTTATAAACTGATTCACCTGAAAGTTTTACACTGTAACACTGTGGTATTTTCAAAACATCAAAAGTCTGCGTTTCCCAAGAGCATCGGAAGATAAAGCTTATCGCAGAAACCGTTGGCACCAATGCAGAAATTACACACTTTAGCTTTAATAATAATTGATAAATGCATTTTGAACAAATTATTAAATTGTTTTATCTTTTTTTATCCAAATGAAAATTGATATGAATGAAATATTTTCTTTTTTTTAGATCATCAAAAAATCTTGTATCGAGATCTTGGCAGCGGAGCCATCCAGTGTATGTGCAGGAGGTATATATTTACATAAAATAATAATAATGCCCTTGATTTCATTTGCTAATAGCTATGTTCCTTCCACATTCAATTAATAAGGATTTTCGCTGTAGGAAATATGGATTCTTGCTGTGTCTGGCAGTGAATTATGTATGTGCCATAATAAATCTTTATGGTATATTGCAAGTCAAAGAGAATTTAACTCAGTAAAGGCCTGTTCACACCAAGGACTAAAACTAACGGTAAAACTAAAGATGTTGTTTTAAAAATCATTCCAGATGTAAAAGAATAGCAGAGTTCACACACACCACAACTATAACGATAACGGCACAGAGAAACAACTTGAATCACTTTCAGAATTTTTTTTTCCAGCAAATGAGTGATAAAAACATTGACAGCCAATCAGAATCAATCCTGCTGTAACGAGCCTGAGCATTTAAAGCGGCAGATCTTATCTTTCTTGGTATGAACGCTCTTTAAATCTGTATTCATTTAATTTCCATACTTGCATACAGCATATCACTCTTTTGGACTAGATTTCCTTTTAAACATTAATGTTGCACACATTTACTGTATGTATCATCAATATAAGTAAATATAAGCACATTATCATAAAATAATCATAAAGAAATTCCAGTGTTGAACTTGACAGTCTGTGAGATGCATTTACCCAAGAGGACAAATCTATCATTGTGGTTTTATATTACCCAGCATAACTTGACCCATGCTGAAAGTGAAAACACAGAAAAGTTGATATTTTTGTAGGGAAATGGTGTAATGAAATGTCTTTTGTGAGGATTTATCACTATTTTTTTGAGCAGCAACTGTGGGAATCTGTGTTTCAGAGTCTTTTCAAGTGGTGGTGAGAGGTAATGGCTTTCGGCACGCCAGAAACATAGACCAGGTCCTGTGCAGCTTCAAAATAAACGACACCGTCACGCTCAGTGAGTGTTTTCCCTGCAAACATTCCCACAGAGTCGGAGTGCTTTCTCATTTCTCATGAACAAAGCTGCATTTAATCTGCTTTACTAAGCTTTTATTCTCCCTGTAACAGATGAGAAGCCTGCGATTGTTGAAGACACGTTCTTGCTGTGCCCTGCGCCTGTTATAGATGAAGTGGGAAAGTAAGTGAGAGGCTGATGGACAGGTCTGCCATGCATTAGCTGGTGTTTATGATCGCAGTCAGAGGTCACATTCCTCTTCCTTACGCAGCTCGCCGTTTTATCCTGTTGATCCAGTCTTTTCCAGAAACTGCCTGATTTCATGAGTTCATAGCCTTCTGATCCACAGAATCAAAGCCTGAGCTTTAGATGATGTCAGAGGCTCGGAGGAGCCGTTAAAGCAGATCGTTTTCAGAAATCACACCCACTCTCTGCTTTTCTTTCTTCCTCTTCATCTCCATTATTTCCTTACCGCTCCCATAGACCTCTCTCTCCCGCTTCTGATACAGCATGTTATGTTCAGAGCCCTCTTGTTGTCAAGAACTGCGGTGTTCTTGAGTTTTTAAATTTCTGGATGTCATATATACATTTATTTCTATTCTTCATAGACAAGGTTTTCTAAGGGAATATAGTTTTACAAGGACATAATAATACAATACACTATCTACAGTAGTTCTTCTCCAGTTCTCTGAGCGTTTAATGTAGGGCTGCACTAAAATTTTAATTCTGGTTGATATTGATAAATTGATAAAATGAATTTTGGCAGATGTGCAGAAAATGTCAAAAAGTCTAAAAAATAAAATAAAACACTAAATATTAAAATCTAGCGAATTGCTTAGTGAATTTAGCCATCGCAATATCATAATCTACAATATACAAAGGAGAAATTCATTTTGAGATTTGCTAAAGATTACAATTAAAAGTGTTATAATAAATTATTAATATAAATAAGTTATAATTATTAATTTTATCAAATATATTACCTTTAAATTAGTATTATGTGGTAGAAATAATGTTAATGTAAAAGTACACAATTAAATATCCAAAATCATCCAAAATATAAACAATATTGATGATGATGTTTTGCGAGTGAACGCAAAGTTAAACAGCAAACATTTGCGAGAGAATACAAAAGCATTCATTTCTCATACTTTTTTTCATCATCATATCCCTTATTGTGTTATTTTTTGTTCTGATAGAAGCCTGTATTTTTAAGACTAAATCTCATACTGTCATGTTCCTTTTCGCTCTAAATATTTTAAATCAAGTGAACTGTCCTAATATCCCCAATCGCCAGTCCATTTCTGTTCTCTTCTCGCACTCATCTTCGAACCGTCATCCCACCTTCCTCATACATGCCAGACCATCCCACAACATCTTTAAAGACTGACACTTTCACACTGGAGCTTTTGGTGCGGACTGGGTCCATTTGACATCAGAGTTTGGTTTTAAAGGAACACTCTGACTTTTTGGGACTTTAGCCTATTCACCGTATCCCCCAGAGTTAGATAAGTCCATACATACCTTTTTCATCTCCGTGCGGGCTATAAGTCTGTTTGACGCACCCACAGCTAGCCTAGCTTAGCACAAAGACTGGATGTAAATGGTTGCAGCTAGCATACTAATCCAAAGAAGTGACAAAATAACGCAAACATTTTCCTATTTACATGTTGTGATTTGTATAGTCACAGAGTGTACAAAAAACAAAGTCACATGAGACACAGACATATTTTAACCTTATAAATACTGGGAACTATATTCTCTGAAGGCGAAGCACTGCTACTTGGGCGGAGTGATAACCGCAGCACCTGAGACGCGCCGTGGTGAGGAGCAGAGAGTTCGTCAGAGTTTGGGCACGGCGCGTCTCAGGTGCTGCGGTTATCACTCCGCCATGTAAAAATAGGAAAATGTTTGCATTATTTTGTCACTTATTTGGATTAGTATGCTAGCTGCAACCATTTACATCCAGTCTTTGTGCTAAGCTAGGTTAGCGGTGGGTGCGTCAAACAGACTTATAGCACGCACGGAGATGAGAAAGTTATCTATGGACTTATCTAACTCTGGGGGATAAGGTGAATAGGCTAAAGTCCCAAAAAGTCGGAGTGTTCCTTTAAAAAGTAATTTTCTGAACTCAGGTTTGCACCAACACCAAGTAATTGAACAGTGTGAAAAAAAACACCCAAACTTTACATTGCATCTCAAAGCTCAGATATACTTCAAGTGGAATCAAAGAATGAACTGGTGCGACGTCGTTCCGAACAAAATCAGGCCAAAAAAAAAAGTGCGTTTGGAGTGACCAGAAAAGTTAGCTTTGGCTGGTAAACGCCTTCAAACTACCATTGGTTGGTGGCAATGACCTAATAGGTGGGTGTGGCTCTGAGGCTCCGCCTTCTTTGACGTGGAAATCCTCTCCGGTTCATTTCTCCGGTTCAGTCGATCGAGGTCGGACGCAAGTAAAAACATGAACACACCGGAGAGCCGCTTTATAGTAGAAATTATTGTTGTAATTCTAATTAAAAGTGATACTGACACTGTTTTTTCATGTTTAATATTGTAAAACTGCTTCCTTTAAAGCACTGAATAAAGTGGTATTTAAATGACTGGAGAGCCGAATTTCAGACCTCATCAGACGCTTTCTTAAAGGAATATTTCATCATTTACTCACCCTGAAAAGTTGTTTCAAACCTGTATGAATTTCTTTCTTCTGCTGAACACAAAAGAAGATATTTTGAAGAATGTGGCTGACCAAACAGTTGATGGACACCATTGAGTCATTTGTTTCCTACTATGGAAGTCAATGGGGTCCATTAACTGCTTGGTTAGCCATATTCTTCAAAATATCTTTCTTTGTGTTCAGCAGGAGACAGAAATTCATACAGGTTTGAAACAACTTGAGGGTGAGAAAATGACAGATTTTTTTTTTTTCAAAATTTTCATTTTTAAGTGAACTATTCCTTTAACTGCTGTTTTGTCATTTTGTTATCGAGAGGAAAGCGTGCATCACGTATTTACATATTCATCTAAAATCAAACTTTTGACGAAGAGAACTCCGCTGTGAGTATATCGGGGTTTTCAGTAATAATTGTCTGGCAGAAATCAGGCTGTTTATCAGTGTTTTTGCACAGAGGAATGTGAACCTAAGCTAAAGTAGAAGCTCTTCATCAGGGAGAAATGACTTATCTGTCAGGAGAGCAGACTTAACCTCTGTCTGTTCAGACACAAACCTCGGCGGGAATGCTGAACATTTGGAATGCTGTTTTTATCAAATGTTTGAGACACTAGACAGCTGACTACAACAAAAGTTAACCAGCACCCTGCAAAGCGCTGTAAGGGTGCCAATTATGGTCTGGAAGGCATTTCACACTAAACTAAAGATCTGCAAATACATCTCTTTGTACAAAAAATGTCACAAAAATGTTGTCTTTGGCACATATGCCTGATGTCTCTCTAAATCCTGTTGGTCTTGTGTGTGTTTTCTTTCTAATTTTATGGATACTTCTGTGCAATGTTAAAGGGTTTGCCAGCTTTCAAAGTGACAAATATGGGTATGAAAATGTATGTTTTGGTGTTTGCGCTCCAGGGTGGTGTACCTGCAGGTCAGCATGAACGAGGGTCTGTCGTTTATCACCAGCTCCGTGCACATAACCACAACAGAGTGTGTAAGTCTGACTGCAAACACACCAACGCAACATCACACCCAGACAAACTACAAAATGGAAATTCATTTTGAGATTTGCTTAAGATTACAAATAAAAGTGCTAATAAATGTATTTTTAATGTAAAAAAAAATAAGTACACAATTAAATAGCTGTCAATGCTGATAGATTTTCTTTGTATTGGCTGATATCAGTATGTTGTGCATCCCTAGTTTAATTTATTAATAACAATCCTTCCAAACCTCTCATCTAATCAGAATTTATAACCTTTTTTTTGTTCTAATAGCTCCCTTTATACTCTCATGATCCCTTTAGCTCTTCATGTAATAAATTATCTTCTTTAAATGCTGTGAACTGTCCCAAAGCCAAATCACCTCATAGAATTATAGCATTAGTGAATGTTTTTGGGTGTTTTCTGAACTCCCTGAAACGCCTCCATTGTTGTCTCGAGTTTCTTACGGGAACGAACACGTCACAATATTCCTCATTTAAATCATTTATACGCAGAATAAAGGGGCGGGGCCTGGTTGAGTTAGTTAGTAGTGTGTTGAAACTGGCGGTTATGGTAAGGGGCGGGACATTTCCCAAACACACTCGAAGCGCTTGACCAATCACAACACACTGATCCAGCCGACCAATCAGAGCACAGTGTGCTTTTCAGAAGGCGGGGCTTCATATAGACAGGAACTAAACAGAGCGTTACTGACAGACTGGGAAGAGAGGAGCCGCAACAATGGAGAATTTAAGAAAAAAAAATTGTGTTTTTTAAGCATTCGCGGATTCTAGTAGAGCCAAAAAACTAAATCAAGACTTTGTAAAAGTGTATAATAGGTCCCCTTTAATTAAAACTAAATATAGCTATTATATATGATCGTAATTATGTTGCATTGTAATCATTGGAAAGTTTATGTACAATTAATGGGTGGTCTTTGACGTCGTAACCCCTTATTTTGATAGTATTCTCCCCTCCTCACGTTTAGGTCGTCCCCCATCATCATTTTCTCTTCACAACACACACCATCCCCCCAATAACACACAGATCAAGGGCCAAACCGCAGGGGTTCAGCACGTCCCCAGACAAGAGCCCCGAAAAGATCCTGTCTCTGACTCTCACTGAGCCGGCTTCTTGCCCACAACCACAAAATAACTTTTCATGAAGCATTTCTTCTCTAAATACTTTTTTAAAAAGCAGTGTGCTCTTCCCATTTTTTTCCCATTACATACTTTTTAACAGTGAGATTGCTCAGTTTTTGGTAGTCATAGTTTGTCTTTTGATGGAAATGTCCTGTAGATTTCAACATGTTCATGTATTTGATGCCATTTTATATTTTGCTGACAAAAATGACGTAATTTTTAAATAATATTGAAACATTATTTTGTCATGGAATAATATTAAATAATTTTACACCATTTTACCGACAAAAATGGTGTATTTTTAATAATATTTAAACACTGTTTCGGCCTGTCATATTTTAGACCATTTTACATTTTCCTGAAAAAAGGCTTGTAATTTTTTTAATAATATTTTAAACATTATTTCACCATGTCAAATTCATTAATTTTACGCAATTTTACTGACAAAAATGGTTTATTTTTAATAATATTATTTTATGTATTTATTTAATATTATTAATTTATGAATGTAATGTAATATTTATTCATTTATTAATGTAAACAAATCAAACAAATAACAGGTTCATCAAACTATGTTATTTATGTTATTCAACAACGTATCATATCAACATATATAATATCATATTCATTGACAAAATTAAAATGTTGGTTCTTGAAGTAACAAAGAATAAATCCCAAATAACAATATGTCAATATTTTTTTGTTAGTGAAGTGTAAAAATGGTTGCTTATCCTTCTCTTTCTCAACCTCTCCCACCTTCTCTGTCTTTTCCTTTGCAGTTTGATGGGACGATCCTGCTGATCACCCTGCTGGTGTTGTTTCTATTATTGGCTCTGTTGTTCATGTGGTGGTTCTGGCCGCTTTGCTGCACCGTAGTAAGTCATCGCCTCATTTACCATCTTAAATATCAGCCTTCATACAGTGCGTTCTCACGACACATCTTCCAGTATTTTTAAATCTGGGAGCCAAGGCCTATGGATTTGCGGTAAAGACTGAAGTTGAGTGATTTAAGGTGGAAAATTGGTCAATTCATCTCAAATGAGCACACACTGTATAACCAGAGGTCATGATTTAACATGATATTCTATATTATGCATCACTTGTGTTTTTGGTTATGTGACTTGACTATTTCACACAACATCGATGTGTCTTTCCACAGGTGATCAAAGAGCCTCCACCTCCTCCACCGCCAGAGCCAGTGAGTTCTACTTACACCTCACTTTATCTGATACAGAAGGATTAAATGTCACAGACGGGGGCTTTGCTGAATATATATGGATCCTCTAGTAGGCCTTATCTCAAGGGTGTTAGGGGGTCTGTGTAAAAGTTCAAAGAAAAACAGTATAAATATTATATTTACAATCTTATAAATATAATAGAAAATATACAGCATATCAAATATTAACAATTGTTATTAATTTCATTATTATTATTAATTATCAATTGTTATTAGTTGTAGTAGTAGTAGTAGTAGCGGTATGTCAAATTAATAATTACAAAAAAGAACAAAAATCCCAATTTGACTTTATTATAAGGGGCTTTCGAACCGGAAGAACCTTTTCATAGTTCCTAGAACTATTAACGGAAGTTCCCGTTTTTGCCGTGTTCGCACCGCAGGAACTAGGAACTATTTTAGGTCTAGAACTAATTTTGCTCATACTTCAGAGTCTGGTCTAAACCATAGACTGTAAAAAAAGATGGACGACGGCCCTTCGCTCTCTTCCATTGGTCAGAAGTGAAGCCGCCAGTATCCCGATATGGCGCTGACATCTTGGGACCAGACCTGCGCAGTCGTGAGCCGGAAGTAAAGCCGTGAAATCAAGGCCCCGCCCTCACTCTCGCAGAATCAATCGCAAGCACACGCTCCTGCACTTTTAAAATTAATTATAGAAATTTAGATATTAAATTTAAAGCTGCAATCTCCTCAGTCCTCCGAAGATCCCGAAAAAAAGTCTGTTGGTGCTTCAGTGACGACATCGCTCAGAGAACCTGTCAATCATGACGTCACACCACCGCATCAAATAACGAACTAAAAACAAACTTATTTTAAAAACAAACACTTGAACTTACATCAGCGTGATAAAAACTACAGTAAATGACAGAAACCATCTTTGGAAATACGATATTTGAAGTGTAATTTAATTGGTCTCACGTGCTGTTGAATAACACGGGGAGGCGGGGTTTATGACCTATACTAGGACCCGCCACCGGGGGGCGATCGAGACGTTTTGGCCAGTGTTGCCAACTTAGCGCCTTTGTCGCTATTTGTAGCGACTTTTCGGACCCCTTTAGCGACATTTTTTCAAAAAAGCGACTAGCGACAATTTAAGCGACTTTTTGGGCAAACCTGTTGCCAGTTCTGTCCTGCGAGCGCGAGGTCTTGCTTTCTCCCTGTCGTCACTCTCTCTAGCTGCGTCTCCCCTGTTCAGTGAATGGCTGAGAGGAGCGCACGGCCCCTGACAGACGCGAATGAGCAGTGTTTTTCCACAGACTTATCACTTATCTGCTTTTCTTTTGTTTTATATTTAAAGAATTTAGTTTGACCATTTTAATTTTATTTCTTTTCTTGTGCTTATTACTTGTAACACTCACTATCACAGAGCTTAGTTCATCCGGTTACCAAACTCTCTCAATTCAGATAATGTTCTACATAGGCCTATAAAAAATGTAATCATTCACTATATTATAGCTACTCGTTCAATTGTCTGACAACAAAAAAATAGGAAATGAGAACAGCTTTATTTGACATTCGGCTATATTATATTGAATAGAGCATTAATTTAGAGAGAAAACGCACTAGGCTGACAGAACGCAAGTACGACGCGATAACGTCATTAATATGCTAATTGACGTATGACGTCATCTAGCGACATTTAGCGACTTTTAGGGAAGGCCTTAGCTACTTTCCTTAAAAAAATAGTTGGCAACACTGATTTTGGCTTCACTTTTCAGGGCTTGTGCGGCACGCTTGGTCTAAAGCAGCGCTACAGGAACTATCCGTGACGTTAGTATTCACTGATTGGCCGAACGCACGCGAAACACCAGCACCCGCTATTTTTAAAAAGACTATGTAAACACACAGAATATAGCCTATATATTTACTCCACAAACTAACTCTACAAACATGGACAACAGTGATAGATGAGCCGCTTAACCTTTACGCTGAGGAGAAAATCCAACTCAACTCTTGAGGGGAACATGATTATGTATTTCTGCTCAGCTAGCAGCACTGGACATCAACCATACGGCATACGCTAATAGAGCTGGTAAGTCCCGCCCATCCGTAAAACTCCAAGTGGACCTCTAGGTTGTAAAAGTAGAGAGTTTGACAGTATATTGTATGATTCTTTGGCTAGCAGTTGTGGAATAGACATAACAAGAAAGACTACACGTCGCATATGTGACGTCACCGCATAACACATTTTCCCTCCACAAATCACGGTGCGATAATCTAAGGAATTAGATCGAGATGCCTGTGTGTTTTGTACCCAAATGTCACCATTCAAACAAAGGCATGTTTAGCGGGATCCGTGTGCTAGTGGTGGTGACGTATATCAAACGCGTCGAAAGCAGCGAAGAGTTGTAGTCCACAAAGTGCTCTCACACAAAGTCTAACCGTATGAAGATTCTACCCGCTAAATTGTAGCATTCTTTACACGAAAATTTATATAAAAAATTCACAGACAACATATGTTCACATTCATTGCAAAATTCAAACGGGATTAGAAAATAATTATTTTCTCTCATTCACTTGCATTGACGATCTTTCAACCTAGAGGTCCAGCGGGGTAAGCGGAAGGGGCGGGACTTACCAGCTCTATACCTTTTCATTACTGTCTACTTTCTATGTATAACAGTTCTATCTATTAACGTATTAGACAGGACTGTTACACAGAGGTCCGCCGCGCCGTCAAAATAAAAGTCACAACAACATGCGCGGCTTACGTCATTTCAGAGTTCTGCGAATGCAACCAGAAAACGTTCCTAGGGGAACCATTAGTTCTCGGGGAACCACCCTGGTGCTTAGTTCCTATAACTATCTGGTGCAAAAGCCCCTAGTGTTTTATTCTGCTCTGAAAACATGAGATTGATCAAAATCAATGTTTATTCTGTTGACAGCCATAGTTAGTACCTCATAGAAAGCACTTTATAACTACTTTGAAGGTTATACAAATATTTGACACATATTAACAGTAATGAGTCTTTACATAAAACACTTGTAAAAAGCTTCTTTCTTAGTTGTTAGTATCTTCATATCGCTAGCAACATAGTATAACTATGTTTTAAAATATGTCACTGTCGTTTAACTGCTATAAATAATGAGTAGCTTGTCTCCCGGAAAGCTACAGTTTCAAAGTATGTTTAAATGGATGTAAATTGGCCTTGTCTCATAATCTGTATTCGGTAGCAAAACCCCTGTCAACGTCTAAGCCACAGCAGGGTTAGAACAAGGAACTGAATTTTCTTAGTGTGAGATTCATGAAGAGATTTTAATGAAAAACATCAGATGACTGTGAGTATAACAACATCAACATGTGAAAAAAAGCACTGGCAGTTTATTCCTGTGAGCAGATGTTTCGTACCTCTCGTGCTCGTGTACGTAACGTGTTTTTCCTCCTCAGGAGTCGGATGATGAGGACGGCATGCCGAAGAAGAAATGGCCCACAGTTGACGCATCTTATTATGGTGGTCGAGGGGTTGGAGGAATTAAACGAATGGAGGTGGGCTTCCTCAAAAGAGGAAATGTAATCTGAGAAAAATGTGTCATGTGATTATTAACACATTCATAGGAAGATGTAAACTTTACAAAAAAAAGTGTAGTTTTTGGAAAAAAAATCATTTTAAATCAGTCAGATAATAAAGCTAATTTTTTGCCACACCTGCCTATGGCCCGTAACTTTTAAAATTTACCGGCCATACATTTTTTACATAAAGATAAATGTTTAAAGGCCCATTCACACCAAGGACAAAACTATAAAGATAACAATAAAGATATAGTTCTAAAAATCATTATCAATATCAAAGAATAGCAGAGTTCACACCACAGCTATAACGATAACAGCACAGAGAAACAATATTGTTGGAATCATTTTAAGAACGATTTTATCCAGCCGATGAACGATAAAAACAACGACAGCCAATCAGAATCAATCCTGCTGTAACAAGCGTTTAAAGTGACAGACACGCACGCGCTTAGAATAAACAGAACAATATCGTCCACTGGTGTGGACGCTAATCGGTGTTGGGCAAGTTACTTTTATAAGTAATTAGTTACAGTTACTAGTTACTTCTTCCAGAAAGTAACTAAATTAGTTACTCAGTTACAAATTTTAAAAGTAACTAGTTACTTGAGAAAGTAACTATTGGGTTACTTTCAAGTAAAATTAAGTTTTAAATGCTCAAATGTGACCCCACATCTACCCCTCTTTAACGGAACTTACAATACATGTGCATGTTCAATTATTTATGATAAATCTGAATATTATAATGAAATGGACACTTAATACAATACATTATTAACAGAAACATGAAACATTGTACACACATCAAAAAAAAAAAATCTTGCTGTGTGACAAAGTGAGACTAGCCTCCAATCAAATGCCATGTATGTAAATATTATGTTTATATAGTGGATCAATGCAAATAACACAATAGATCTTTTGGAACTTTTGATATTTATTGCCCCTCAACAGGCCACAACTGGGCAAAATTAAATTAAGCTTGTTAAGATCGTCGCCATACCTGTCTCTCGTTGACTGACTGGCTTGTGTTGTTCCTTGTGTGTCCTGTCCTGTCCGACTATGCGTTATGATTCGCAATTCATGAGCGTTAGCCGTTAGTGATGATGGGTCGTTCGCGAATGAGCGTTAGTGATGATGGATCGACTCGTTCGCGAATGAGCTTTTGATGGGTCGTTCGTGATTCGCGAATGAGCCGACTCTAAGACCCGGCTCTTTTAGGTGAACGTCGGGAGCTGGCTCGCATGTCTGAAGAGCTGACTCTATTTTTTACAAATTTAGCCTATAGAAATTCAATAATTATGTAATAAAAATTTAAATATTATAGTCAAAGTCATTTAAAGAGCCGTTTGTGAGCCAAAAGAGCCGGCTCTTTTCAGTGAGCTGAGTCAAAAGAGCCGAATGCCCATCACTACTATGCGTGCTTTCGAACACCCGCCCAACTCTACCTCTGATTGGCTTACGATGACATTTTACTCCACCTCAGCCAATCGTCAGCATTTATGCGCTTGTCTCGTGCTCTGCCCACTAACCAAGGAAGAACAGTAAAAAAAGTATTTGCCTCTCGCTCAGAGATCTAGTTGGTCTGATGAAAAAAAAACACAGCTTCATCAGTTATAGTAACGCGCCGCATTTTTTGGCAGTAACGGTAACGGCGTTATTAAGATGAGAAGAGTAATCAATTAGATTACTCGTTACTGGAAAAAGTAATGCCGTTAGTAATAACGCCGTTATTCCCATCACTGACGCTAATATATAGTTTAGATAACTTTAGTTATTTTTAAAGTTATCGTTCTTGGTGTGAACGGGCCTTAATCCTAAATAAAGTTACAAAAGTTAGTCAGTCTACAGAAGTGAGTGATTGTTCTTTATCTTTTATTGTTAGATTAACATTAAAAACACAGACAGCATCAGGAATATTAGGCTGCTGTCACTTTAAGAGCTGCATAGATCCAATGAATATATTGTTTGAAAACTTAAACTGTTTACGTTCAGTTATGTTTACAAGGGTACTTGCCAAGACCGGCCTTTTGACAATTTAGTTTGAATGTCTTGCTCTAGCTCAAGAAGACGTGAAAGAGAGCTCAATTCAGTATTCTCATGGATGTGTGGACATGCGCTTAGTAACGCGAGAAACACATTGAGCTCCCTTTCGCGTCTTCATGAGCTTGAATAGCAAAATTGTCCAGGCTTAAACCTTCGTGACGATGCAGCAGTGCCCCGTCAACTGTCCCGAGCGCCGTTCATGTTTGTTCACGCTTATGTTCTCACAACATTGCATTGTTAGGATTCATAAAAATATTACCGGCCAACTGCCGAGATTTCATATACTCGCCAAATAAAAGTCTGCATTAGTTTTAGGCCCTGTATATAATTATTATAGATTTGAATGTGGTTGCAAACTGCAAACTTTTTTACAGTTTTCACAAAAATATGAAGCAGGCTGCACAACTGTTTTCAACATAATAATAATCATAAATGTTTCTTGAGCTGCAAATCATCATATTAGAGTGATTTCTGAAGGATCATGTGACACTGAAGACTGGAGTAATGATGCTGAAAATTCAGCTTTGATCAAAGGAATAAATTACAGTTTAGTGTATATATATATTCACAGTTATTTTAAATAATAATAATATTTCACAATATTACTGTTTTTATTGTATTTTTTAATCAAATAAATGCAGTCTTGGTGTGCAGAAGACTTCATTCAAAAACATTAGACGTTTTTTTAATTATTACAAACTTTGACCATTAGTGTATATAATTAAGAAGATAATGCTAATTAGAAATAAAAGAATATAAGTTGCTAAAAGCGACCTAGAAGTGAAACATCAAAGCATCTCAAAAGAAACTGAAAGACTTTTGCATTTGCTGAAGATCTGTAACAAGTTTCGGAAGAAGTGATCTAATGTTTGTGTCCTGGTCCAGGTTCGCTGGGGAGGGAAGGGCTCCACTGAGGAGGGAGCGAAGCTGGAGAAACCCAAAAACGCGGTTATAAAGATGCCTGAGCAGGAGTTCGAACCCTTTGAACCCAAGCCCAGAAAATCAGACAACAGGAAGCAAGCTCAAGACAGGAAGTGGTATTCTCCCATTAGGGTAAAGATGCTTTGTCATCGTCATCATTGTTTATTTGTGTGTCTGTTCAAAGCATGCGTTTAACAGCACGTTTCTCCTGTTCAGGGTAAACTTGATGCGATCTTGGCTCTTTTCCGCCGTGGATATGATCAAGTGTCACTTATGAGGCCACAACCAGGAGATCATGTGAGTAACCAGGTCTAGATGATCTGGCTTAGCATTATCTTTCTTCCATATAACGATGATGTCAAAACACACTCCTTCAACAACAAACAGTCTGACCAGTCTCAACCGAAAGCTTTCAAGGCGTTTGGACCTCATAAATCCTCGTCCTGTGGGTTTTTTGACTCATTCCTCTTCGCCTTGGCCAGACGTTTCCTTACCTTTCATTTGTCGACCCAGACCAGCAACGCCCCATCAGAGAGGCCTGATGGGTGCCAAGACACATCATAGGCACAGCTTGCCACCTGCATCAAATCAGTAGCCATAAAAATGAAATGAAACACAAATGTAGGCACTTTCCAGACAGATAGTCTGCACTTTTAAAGGCCCGACGCTCACATATGCAGAGCAGCCACATGGTTCGATTTTTAATGTCAAATTGCAGGTTATCGGCTCTGTTGGATCGGCGTGATTTAGACTTGATGCATCTTTCACACAGACGTTTGTATCCTGCTGAGATTAACTGTCTTCAGGTGCTAGTGAAACCACGTGGAAAAAACTAGAGCTGGGTATTGACACACATTTCATGATTCTATTCGATTCTGATTCACAAGCTTGTGATTCGATTCAATTCCAACCTCCCTTCGATATCGATTCATTTGAATGTATACAGTAAAACAAAAATGCTGTAATTTATACAGGGAACCCTGTAAGTTGGTACTTTACTATACAATTAAAGGTTAAATTTAACAAAAATTGCAAACATTTAAATTACACATAAGAAAATAATGTTAAAATATATCAAATTTAATACTTTTTAATTATGTAAATGTGTTTCTACGCCAATTCGTGTTTTTTTATATATATATATATATGGTGGCTGTCATAGCTTGTTTTCATGATGGATTTATTCAAACATACAAGAACAGGTTAAGTAAAAATATAATGTAATATAGTGCATATATTTATCAAAATGCACCTCTCTAGAGTTATTTTTTCAAGCTAGCTATCAAGATGGTCATTGGTTGCATTTTGTCTGTGTGTACCTTTTGTATAGTTTTCTCATTTTTGTCTTCAGAACGGAAAAACGGGGGAAAACAATTATTTAAATGGACTGTTTATTATTAACTCTTTCCCCGCCATTGATGGAAATTTCCATCATTAATGAGACGCTTCCCCGTTATTGATTTGAAATTTCCGGTCAAACACAGTCAAAGAAAAGCAGAAACGAGCGATATCATATGTAAGCAGATGCATATGTAAAATAACGCGATTATCAACACAACATTAAACAGCATATAAATCAAAACTGCCTGTTACTGAAGGGCTTTTTGCTCAAAATGTGTTTTAATGAAACTTACTTTACATTCAAGTGTTGATAAAAAAAAAGGAATGCATGAAGATAGAATAAAACGGGTCTTTTGTTTAAAAGCAGACAGGGACGGACTGGGACCAAAAAACGGCCCTGGACTTTGACTAGGCCCGGCCCAAAGCAATCGGCGCGAGGAAACTCGACAACAACAACAACGCCTACCGCCTGGCATGAGTGTCATAAGACTTTAATTGTGGCTCATGATCCTATACCATCCAAATTATAGCTAACAACATATTATACAATCTATTCCATGCTGTCTTAAAATTAATTTATTACTTAATAATCTTAATTAATTTATGCAGTAATAAATCTTAGCTACTGCACAAATAATAATACCACATCTAAATGAAAAGGCAATACCATTACAAATGTAACTTCTGTATTTAAAATCTTCAAAGTTTGTAAGCATCAACTGTAATGTTAACAACATTTTTAAAAGTAAAAGCACAACATATTTCTTAATATTAGCTACTGCATGTGGCATTTTACAGCTAAAATGTTGAAGTTTAGCTGTTTTAACTACTGTAATCATTAAAAATGTAGCAAGCTGAATATCACTTCCTAACATCATCAATAGCAAGTAACTTGCAAAGTAATAATTTCTGATTAATTTGGTTCGGGAGTAGTAGAGATAAAAGCCCGCCCACACCACACTGACAATTGATTGGTTGGGTCCTTACATGCGCTTCGTGAGGCACACGCGCACACTAGCACACACACGCAAGGTCTCTAGCTCGCTCCCTCTCTTTGGCATGCGCGCGCTACGCATGCGCGCTCTTGCTCGCACTAGATTCCGGGAGATTTTAACTAATTTGGGATGTCTGCTGACTGCGTGTGTGGCGGGTGTTGGGCCGGCCCGCCGGCCGTCCTGGAGTACCGGCCGTTCTGTGATTCTCCAGATCACACAGATGGCCAGTCCGCCCCTGAAAGCAGAGGCTCTGTTCTTTCTTTTGATGTACCATGCATGTTCAGATATTGAATATTCATACAACAAGGGGGCCTTTCTTGAAATCTTTGTGAAAATGATCAAAAACACTGGCGATGACTGGCAACTTTTCTTTTTTTTTAAATGCTGACGGCGAAAGAGTTTCTTTGTTTTCCCATTTTTGAGGAGAAAAACGAGAAAACAATTTAACCGAAGACACGCTGGCCGTGTTTCCATCCAAAGTTGCGAGTTTAACTTGTGTGTAAAATTGGAATATCGCATAAAATAATATAAACTAATAAAGCAGCGTTTCCATCCCGAGTGTTCAAGAGAACAAAATCGTCACTTCCTGGGAAATTGACGCAAAATATCTGTAATAAAAATGGAAGTAGCTGTGAGCCGTGGCTCTTTTTTCCTGCATCGTAGACTGTCTTGTCTGTCAGTCATATAATGCAGGTCTATGGTCACCACCTCAAAGAGCATGCACAGAGAAGTCCAAATTAAACATGATTTAATGACTCGTAAATGTAAGTACACATTGATGGCCTAAGACACGAAACGAGCGGTTTGTGTGAGAAAACCAACAGTATTTATATCGTTTTTACCTCTTGTAAACACAGCCAGGTCCAAGTGATCTGAGGGCGCCGGCGCTTCGGTCTTTTCCGGAAAGCGCCGGAAGTGATCTCTCGCGCGTGTACGTCACTCATACATTTTTTTTTATTTTTTTTTATTGTTTTCTTTTACGACGGTTTAAACATCCCGGATAAGCGCAAATTAGTACCATTTTAATTAGCCGTCTTACCTACAATCTCTGTTCTGTGTAAACAATGAGTGACGTACACGCGCGAGAGATCACTTCCGGCACTTTCCGGAAAAGACCGAAGCGCCGGCGCCCTCAGATCACTTGGACGTGGCTAACCAAATCATTCTGATGACAGACTTTGGCTCAGAACCACCAAACCAACATTTGAGAAGCTGTACGATGCAGTTGGTCCGCTGGATAGTCCAGTTAGCCAATCACATCCTCCGATGAGGCAAAGTAACATGAGTTTTTTTGTTGTACATTATGGGTCGGTAAATGTTTCCATCGTGACTAGCTTTTCTGAGGTAAATGTGAAGTTACATGACATCGTTTACAAGCTGTAGCTGCTACAGTAACTGAGGAACTGTGCATAGAATGGTTCTTGTCAAGCTTTTGACCCGACTGGTTTTAATAGCCCCGAGCGAACGCTTGCATGATGCAGAGGAATGGTTTTCACCTCCTCGTCCTGTAATGGCGTTGGGTCTCTCCGCTGCTCTGCGGTTTGTGACGAGAGTGCTGAAAAATGCCCAGACTGACTCTTTTCTCTCTCGTTCTTTCGGAGTATGGAAAACAAATGAAACGGGCGTCATTTCCTGTCTACAATTGCATTAAGAGGACATAAAATGCGTCCAGCAGTGCCTGTACTGTGCATGAAGAACTCGCTCCACCGCCATAAGTTGAAAACAAGGTCATGGCAATGCTTTTACGAGTCTCGCCCCCTCGCCTAATGCAATCTTTCTCTTTCTTAAACAAGCATATTCCTGTCGCTTTTCATCTTTCTGTGCTTTCCTCACAGGTTTTGGCTTTACCTAGTGTGGAAACAAGGTTTAATGTTGTTTCGATTGAATTCTTTTGGTTGGTTTCGGAGTATGTGTGCATATGTTTGTCTGACGTCTATAGTGTATCATTATCTCTCCTCGGTCTGTTTTTCTCATTTGTACCCTGGTTAAGCTCTCTTCCTCATGCCTCTGTCTTCAATCCCATAATGCACAGGGATCAGCTTTCCACTGGCTGTCCCAGCAGCTCTGACGTGAAACCTTGAAGTTTGCCTTTCAGTTTTGCACAGCCCTCGCTCTGGTGGAGGTTTGAGGATGAGGTCATGAATAAAACGGCCACATCAAACATCTACGAGACTGACTTCAGACTGCTTTATGACCCCGCTATAATTGCAGTTGTGTCAGGAGGTCATTTTCCTCTGCTTTGCCATGAGGGAAGGACTATTACAACAAACATCCTTCAAAACACCTACTTCACCTGTCATTATGCAGCCTTAAATAAGATTTGACGTTGAGGTCAACTCATTTTACTTTCATAATGTGACGTATAATGAAACCGAACAGTTGAGTTTATCCATCAGGAATCGATTGGATGTTGAAAAGGCGTCTCTATATGACTGGTGGGTTATAAATAACCGCTTGATGATGTCAACCAAAAATAAAATAAAATAAAAATTTAGTTTTTCTCCTTTTGAATAACATGCACATAAGATTCATACACAATAAGACCAGAAATAATTGTTAAAGTAAATAAGGAAATCAAAAATTGATTGATGTCATGGTGTCATGTGACATGTCATGTATATATTTAGGTGGACTTTTCATGTACAGTAAGACCAGAAATATTAAATGAATCAAAATAGTTTGTTTTTTCATGTTTGATTTTAATTGAATTAATTATAGTACATATGAAAAGAAAAGAAATCCACCTAAATATACATATAATATTCTTTTCATACGTTATATAATAAATATAATACTATCCATCACATTATGAAAGTAAATTAGTTGTGAATAATGCCCAATAGGACCAGGAATATTTATTAATAAAGTTTTGATTTCATCTTTGGTTTCAGTTATCCTATTTATCATATAATATATGAAAATAATATTAAATATAGGTAGGTAGGTATTAAATATAATACTATAAATTATGAAAGAAAAAGGCACTAAACAGATAAATTAAAGTTCTCTATTCTGATTTCATGTTATTTTTTATTATTATTTAAAATATAATACGTTATAAATAATGTCAAGAATTTTAAAATGTACATAAGGTGGTGAACTGTTGATTTGAGCACAGTAAGATTTAAAATATTTAAGAACGTAAATATGCAAATATTAAGTAGTTTTTTATATATTATTTTTATACTTTTAGTTTTCAAATGTTAATTTTAGTTTCATTTTTAGCAATTTTGTCATGTGCTTTTTTCATTTATATATATATATATATATATATATATAGCTATTTAAGTTGAATTATTTTTCTGTTTTAGTTCATATTAGTTTTTATTTCCTGTTAATGATTTTAGATTTTCAACTAATATTTATATTTGATTTATTTCAGCTTAGTTTCAATTAATAGAAATATTTTTAATATTTTAAGTTTTTTTTGTAAATGATAATAATCCTGATTTCATGTTGAATTGAATTATATAATCTATGTAAAGCATATTAAATATATATTTAGATGACTTTTCTGTTTTTAAAAAAAGCATGTTTTCATTTTAGATTGTTGTTTTTTTTTAGAGAGAGAGGCTTTGGGGTCATAGAGGACTTTCCATGATGCATAATTTACAACTGTGGGTGATTTCATCTGTGGTTTTCACAGCGCTTCAGCCAGCCTGCGAGATCTTGAGTGAGCAGAGAGCCAAAGCAAGAACGACTCTGGGTGTCATTCTGGAAAATAGGACGAAGCAATGCTTGCGTATTAGAAAGTGGCCACCTTCAACAGAGCAGATTACCTCACGTTGTTTCTCTTGTTGTTCTCTCCTCAGGGTCGGTGTATCAACTTTACACGAGTGAAGGAGGAGGCGGCGGCGGCAGCTAAAGCTCCTCCACGAGCTCAAAGCCCACCTCCACCTCCACCAGACTATCAGCCGGTTCCCAGTCCAGTGTCCTCTCCTCCCAACAGCCCTCCTCCGAGAGGACCACCCCTAACCCAATCTCCACCGGCTCCACCGGGTCCCCCACCCGCCCGAGTCCCGCCCGGACCCCCCTGTCCCCCTCCGTCACGGGCCCCACCCAGCCTCGACGGCAGACCATGAGAGAAAGATCCAGCCTCCAGTGCAATTCATCCCTACAGCCAAACAAAATGCTCCTCTCGCCCAAAAACGCACGTGGTATTTATCGGTCAGGTTCGATTAGGATGTGGTGTGTAGTTTGTTGCTGGACAGCAAAAAAAAAAAAAAAGCAAAAAGTCGTGACAAAAAATTCAACTACTGAGTGAGTTTTCCATACGCAGATTAAGAGGAACCGTTTTTAGCTTTAGAGTGACCGAAGTGCTCCTTTTTTTATTGAGGCTGGACGAATCATCGTAATTATTCCCGTTAAACCAAAGTGGTTTAAAGCACATATGAATCCTATGAGCTTTCCATGTCATGCCAAAAATGTCCAAAATAACCAGTATTAGATGCTATGTTATATTGTACAGCATCCTGTGCCTCTCCATTTAATTAGTTATTTTATTTTTTTAATGTCGAGTCACGGATTTTACAGTTGTTGAGTTGCAGGTTCTCTCAGGTGAGTCTCTGACCCTGTACGAAGGTCTGAGTCCGTGTGGCCAAAGGGAAATATCATAGCCTGTCAAAATGTAGGATGAATGCAAGTGATGAATGTGTAAAGGCATTTCTTTTACTGTAGTATCGCAATTAATGTCTTATTCCTGGTTCAGACTACACAATATCAATGGCACAATCCATTTGATGAACGGGTGATTGGTATACAAAAATGGGTCCCGGTCCGCGAGAATTAAAGGGATAGTTCACTTTGAAATTAATTTTTGATTATGTTTTAGCTTACCTCAAGGGCATCCAAGATGTAGGTGTCTTTGTTTCCGCATTAGTTTCAATTTTTATATTTTTAGGTCAAACCGTTCTTGTCTGTCAGTCATATAATGCAGGTCTATGGTCACCACCTCAAAGAGCATGACCAGAGAAGTCCAAATTAAACATGATTTAATGACTCGTAAATGTAAGTACACATTGATGGCCTAAGACACGAAACGAGCGGTTTGTGTGAGAAAACCAACAGTATTTATATCGTTTTTACCTCTTGTAAACACAGCCACGTCCAAGTGATCTGAGGGCGCCGGCGCTTCGGTCTTTTCCGGAAAGCGCCGGAAGTGATCTCTCGCGCGTGTACGTCACTCATTGTTTACACAGAGATTTCGGAAGTGTTACCGCAGCAGACTTCTTCCCGACAGTCAAAGCGGCGTTACGTCAAGAAAGTGCGGACTCAGTGGAAGACCGCGAGTGCTTAGGGTGCCATTTGGGACAGGGCCAAAAACGATATAAATACTGTTGGTTTTCTCACACAAACTGCTCGTTTCGTGTCTTAGGCCATCAATGTGTACTTACATTTACGAGTCATTAAATCATGTTTAATTTGGACTTCTCTGTGCATGCTCTTTGAGGTGGTGACCATAGACCTGCATTATATGACTGACAGACAAGAAATTGAAACTTCTGCGGAAACAAAGACACCTACATCTTGGATGCCCTTGAGGTAAGCTAAAACATACCAAAAATTAATTTCAAAGTGAACTATCCCTTTAAACATTTCATCTCCAATAGTGTCAAAGTGGATGAGAACTGATGCTGAGTCCGCAACATCCTGACAGAAAGACTAACATGTTTAAATGAGTTTGGTCCTCCACAGTCCCTGTTTGTTTACGCTCTTGTGAAGTAAATCACTAGTTCTGCCGCCTTGATGACATCACTCACATCGTTAAAGACGGTAAACGATGATTGAACGTGTGCTTCCCGTCACTGCCTGCAAAGTCATTTATCAGACGCATCGTAACAGACAAAACACATTGTGTAGTCTGAACCCGGCATTAGTGTGTCACGAGATCTTTGGTTTAGGTAAAACTGGTGTGCAGGATTTGTCTCAAATCACTCGGTTGCTGGAATTTTGACTGATTCTTGAAGGTGCAAAAGTTGGATAACAAGTATGTTTTCAACTCTATTCCAGATCTTTATCTGGGTTTAATCTCATGAAAACATGTCCTGTGGCCGGTTGCATCAAATGCTACTTGTTAGACGTCTTCTTACATGTTAGTCATCTCATTGTTTTTCTTTAAGACTAATTTGAATCTGAAGAATAAGACTGATTTTCTCATTGAAAAACTGCTAGTTGGTCAGACTAGTTTTTTAAGACAGTCTTATAGTGGCTAAGTTTATGCAACTGGCCACAGGTCACATTTCAACCCAATTTTTTCATTTTTTGCGTAAAGGAAATGAAACCTATTTTAAGGACCATTAGGCAGAGCTGCATGATTAATGTACAAGATTGTGATCTCGATTCAAACACCCACACGATCTCATTCCTAAATCACAACGTAACAAATATTAAACCTTTGACAAAATCACACTGGAAGATTCAAACCTGTGTCCGCGCTGCCGCTGAGAGAGCAGCGATTACGATGATTACATTGTTACACCAGTAGGTGGCGACAAATGACTGTTAAAAAATGTATTTGTCATTGAATCATTCATTCAAGAGATTTGTAAACAAAACAAAAATGCTGATTCATCCAGTAATGAAACAAGTTTATGAGTGAGTCATTGAATCATTCATTCAACCCATTTTTTTTATTAAACATTTTAAATAGACTGCAGCAATTAACATTAGTCAGAACCTCTAGTAGAGTACATGTTATTTTGTTTAATTGTCTGTTCAGAATCGTGCAGCTCTACCATTAAGATTTTTTTTTTTTGCATTGTAACATTATTTTCATCACAATTAAGCACATATCACCCCACAATTCTCATTACCATAATGCATCAAGATTAGTTTTTTGTAAATTAATAATAATAAAAATATTAAGTGACATTATTTCCAGTGGTGATCTTATCAGCATCGTAGTGCAATATACAATAAGGTTATGTAATGTTGCGTAATAAAAAAAAGTATGAATCCCGCAAAAAAAACTTAAACTTGCATCATTAGTACATTTTATTAGCAATGTTGCAAGTTTCCGTTTATATTAAGTTTATATTAGAGACACCTAATGATTCAGGTGTGCGAGGCACTATAATTTCTATGTAATAAAGGCTTTTTATTTATATCGGCATAAATTAATAGCCTGGCTCCGCCCTCCTACGCACTTCCGTAGAACCAGGCTAATAAATTAAAGCAAGCACAACAAATATTACAATTTTGTATAAATACTAAATGGAATAGAGTATTTTTATTTATTTTATTATTATTTGTTTTCATTACAGTAATGAGAATAGGGCGGCATCCTAAATGGTCCTAAAGACAGGCTTCTTTTTCTCTAAGCAAACAAATACATTTTCTTTTTTTCCTGTGTGATCAGGCATGTTCTTGGCAGGTTTCGAGTTTGTTCATTGTAAAGGTTGGAGCTCTAAGCGAATGCAAAGTCAGGTCAGTTCTTGTCATGTTTTCTGTATTCCGCAGCTGTACTGTACGTATGTTGATATTCATCATGTTTTCATTTGCATTTCATCGTCAAACATATTGCAACTGCAGGGCAGTTCACAGCATTTAATTTATTACCCCCATGCCTGAAGGAAGGTACTTGAATATGACAAGGTGTCCTCTGTTACAAGCAGGACACTGTGCATGAAACCAAAAAAATATTAAAACGGAAAAAAATCACTTTGCCTCAGATAACAGCCAGTGCCTTCTGTGTGTTTCATTGTTTTTTAATTACCTTTCTTTTTTACGTCATTCAAGTATGATACAGTAGCACTGTTTATACTTTTGGTTTAATGGAAAGATTGGTGCATGAATTTTGTTTTCCCCTTTTTGTCCTTAAAAGTGAAACATTGTTCAGCTGTGAACAAGCTAAGACTTTCACCTCACCCTCGTCGGTTCTTCATATTAGATATAATGCGGTCCAAACCGAAGCTAGTGATGCCGACAACTGCAGTCTGATGCTATAGGTTTGTGCTTTTGTTTGGATTTGTGTTGTTTTATTTGCTTATGGCAATCATTTGAAACATTGTGATCTGTACTATTCCACACAAAAAAGTTGATACCAGAATTATAAATCACAATTATATTGTGTTATGATGTGATAAGTGTATTAACAACAATACTGATGCATCTATTGAAAGGCTCATAAAGTTTACTTTTTTCACAGTATTAATAAAGGTCGACTTTCAAGCTTTTACTGCATTTCTCTGGTTATTGGTTGGTCTACGTGTAAAAAGTGACGTGTAACGGCTCACAAGACCCTCTTTAGGATTGAATTAAGCACCTAAAGCTGCTTTGGTGGCCTTTGGAAATAGTTTGCTTTTGTAATGCTAACTGCTCAGTTCAGTGACTTTGATGAAGTTGTATGAAGATGCGTGGTGGTTTATGAAAAAAATAAATATTTTAGTCACTGAAATAAGGCCATGAAACCCATACTTGACTATTTGTTCACAAGACTTTTGAAAATTCACGTATCACGTAGCCTAGAGTTTTTGTTTCAAAACGGTGTGAAAATCATCCTGCCCACTCATTCACATAATAATATATTGATTTAAAATTTGTAAGACATGTCTTGTGTAAGAAAGCTCTATGCTAGGAGGCGTGAATCATCACGAATATTGATGTGTTTCACACCTGAAGCCCCGTTCACACCGCCAGCGACAAAGCGACATGATCCGATCCGCGTGATTTTTTTCTCCCAAACCACTTCAGCGGAAATCCCGCCCTGCAACCGATTTCATTGGTTTAGGTTACAGTGACGGGTAGGTTTAGGGATCAGTGTTTGGTGTAGGCAATCTGTACAGTGATTGACATGACCAATGAAAACTTTACAATCAGCTGCAGGGCGGGATTTCCGCTGAAGTGGTTTGGGAAAAAAAATCACGCTATGTAGACAAGGGGGTTATCCACCAGCCGGAAACTGAAGTCTCCCCGGGGGCCGCCATTGGCTAACAAGCCTTCACCTGCTGTTAGCATCCCATTGACTCCCATTCATTTTTACGTCACTTTGACAGCGAATAACTTTACATCTGAGGCGTTTAAAGACTCCATTTGTCCATTGTTTATTTCTAAAGAAACACGACAATGTATAAAAGGCTCCATTACCTTGTATCTTCCGTTATGGCCCCGTAGAAGCCGTTTTTGTAAAAATAGGCTAACGATTGCGTCATAACACGCGACTCTCTGTCGCACAGTAGAGAAATTACCGTATAGACAGGAGGAGAAGCTCAGTCACAATCGGGGGGACGTGGAGGC